GTGGAGAGCAAATGTTTTGAGAATGACGAGGGCAGTGAATGTACAAATGTGCTTTACACAACTGATGTATGTATGGATTGTGATAAGAGTTGTATGAGCCCTCAATAAAAGGATTTTAAAAAAGGAAGGAAGGGTTGTAGTGATTCAATGCAGTTAGCCTTATTTACGTGGCTTCTCTGAAAGCTTCTAGAGGAGATTTTCGAGATCGTTATCAAGATTGCTTTGGGAATCACTGCAAAGACGCAGGGAAAGAAAGGCCTGCAGAAACCAAACCAAAAGGATCATCTACAATTACAAGAATATGTTTGGTAGCAACCAAGTCTAATTTTAGGCATTAGGCTGCAAACCTAAAGGTCAGTGGTTCAAACCCACCAGCCATTCCATGGGAGAAAGATGAGGCTGTCTGCTGCCATAAAGATCGACAGTCTTGGACACTTTATATAGGGCTGAGTTGGAATCAATTTGACAGCAGTATACATCCATACAGAAGAAGATTCTTTATGTGATTAAAAAAAAGTGGCATTCAGATATTGAAATTATTTTACAGTCCTTCAAAAGGGTCCATTATTATAACTTAGGGATAGTTTGGTGTGGTGAAGGGCCTGTGGTGCTGGCCTTGGACTCCCCAGGCCACGTGACATGGGCAGCATGGTGTAGGTCCTCCATCTCTGTGATGTCATGGCAGGCAGGCAGCAGTTCTCAGTTTGGTACATTTTGGGAGATACCTGTTTTAAATCATTACATATTGATGGTTAATCTTTTCAGTTGATGATGTACACACACCTTCAACCCCTTGACTCTTGTCCACTAGAGCTCCTCCTTGCCCTCTACCAGCCCCAAGTTCTTGGATAAATTCTCTAGTCCATGTTCTCTGTTTCTGTCTGTGTCTGTACAAAGGAGTGCTGTAAATTTATGGGATTGCTGCTTTTAAAACTCATGATTTCAGCCTTGATTCTCATGATCTCTTCCCCCCCTCCCCCTACATGTCGCTAACCTGCGACTGACTGTGCCACGAGAGGTACAGCCAGTGACTAAGGTCAGCAATTACTCTTCTAGGACTCTAGCACACCAAGGCAATAACCAGTACCCACGCGTGACTCTAGCCTCGATGATTCTCATGATCTCTGATCAGTAATTTTATTTCTATTTGACTTTGTCATTTCCTTCAGGAGCAATAACCGTTCTCTGTGACTCTCCTTGTAAATTCTGTCTCAATGTCCTTATCTGATCTGGGCCACCAGTATGTTGAGGCCTTCACTTGTGAGCGGCCTCAATGTCCTCCTCATTGTCCCCTTATAAATCTCTCTTCCTCCTTATCCTTACCTGCTCTCCTTCCTGTCCAAGAGGAAGGGGTTAGGCCAGCGGTTCTCAACCCCTTTGGGGGTCAAAACGATCCTTTCACAGGGGTCGCCTAAGACCATCAGAAAACAGATAAATATTTCACAATATATAATTACATAGTGTTTTGTGATTAGTCACTATGTTTTAATTATGTTCAGTTGGTAACAATGAAAATACAACCTGCATATCAGATATTTACATTACGATTCAAAACAGTAGCAAAATGACAGTTATGAAGTAGCAACGAAAATAATGTGATGGTTGGGGGGTCACCACAACACGAGGAACTGTGTTCAAGGGTCGTGGTATCAGGAAGGTGGAGCACCGCTGGGGTAGGTCTTCCCATTTTAGATAGTCTTGCCATGTGCCAAGATAGGTGGCGCCACCTTGATACCATCCCAACTATCTCCTCAGTGACTTCGTGCCAGCACATTGCTGCTTCCCTCCTATCTTTATTTCAATAAAACAAACACATTTCTCTAATTCTTACCTCCTTCCCTTCTTATTTTAGTCCTTATGAAAAAGAAAGAAAAGAGTATGTGTGTATCCTATTTTGGATTTATCATTTCATTTCCAGTTTGAACTTTGCACTCCCAGGTCCCTGCACCTTGCAGAACTTTCTCTTTTTTTCTACAGCATTTAACTGCTTTCTAACATGTACTATCATGTATTCATTATAGTCTTCCTAGAGTTTAAATTCTACCAGGTCAGAGATATTTCATTACTTTTGTAATCCAAGCATCTTGAACAATGCTTGGTAAATAGTAAGTGCTCAATAAATAGTTGTGAAATGAGAGAATGAGTGTTTGTATACACTCATTATTTCATTATCACACTGGTTGCAAACAGATGTTTTGTTTACTTGTCTTTCAAACAAGACTGTGAGCTGGAGGGCACAAGCCACACATTCTGGACCCACAGTACCTGCATGGAGTGGGTCTTGGAAAAGCGCACTGAACTAAAGAGACTGTGGAGCATATACAGTCAATTTTGGTTTACCTACCAAGTCGGCAAAACCTGTAAGTGATCTATCTATAAGGATGTAAGACAGTTACTGAAAGAAGATGGGTTTGAGCGAAGGTTTAATAAGAAAAATATCTGTGGTAAGAATCCGGTAGAGGAAACACTCTGTCAGCTTTGAGATGATCAATAAATGATTTCCAGTAGTATCAGGCTAAAATAAAGCAATATTAATGTATCTGGGGAATTGTCAGTAGGGCACAATTCTACTCTTGTCTTAGAGGTTTGAGAGGATACACAAGGGGGCTTGCTTCCAAAAGTTCATGGAAAAATTAGGGTCCTTATCTTTTCATTCTATTTTCCCACAGACGTTGTGAAACCCCCTTGAATAAGAGACCTGGTGGGGAGTGGCAGGGGCAAAGGAGTGGGGATGAACCCTAGAGAGACTTGCCAGACATGGCTGCTAACAAACTTGGTCCAGGCTTGTAATGTGATCCTCAGTCAAAGGAAGGCCAGTGCTATTCTGGGCAGCTAACAAAGGAGGATTGTGCCACAGTGCAGCGAGCTGGCAAGAGCGCCCTGGGAGTATCGCATTCAGCGCAGTGTCAGCATGATAGAGACGAGGTGGTGAGCTCTGAGAGCAGCTGCTGGACTGAGAGGGATAAGCAGATGCAGCTCTGAAGATCCTTGCAAGAGTTTAAGCCTGCAGGGCCGACGATCCTGGCAGCTCCAAGATCCAGGAGAAAAAGACAATCCCAGATAGCTGAATGGTGCTAACACGAGAGCAAGAGGGGAATTACAGACGACATCAAGATAAACGGAGACAATGTGGAAGTAGTCAAGGATTCCATGTTACTTGGATCCACAATCAACAATCAGGGAAGCAACAGTCAAGAAGTCAAAGAACGTCTTACACTGGGCAAATCTGCTGCACAAGACTTCTTAAAAGTGTTAAAGAGCAAAGACGTCACTTTGAAGACTACGGTGCATATTTTCAATTGCCTAATATGTTTGTGAAAGCTGCACACTGAGTAGGCAAGACCAAAGAAGAATCAATGCCTTTGAATGATGGTGTTGGCAAAGAATATTGGAAGTACCACGGATTCCCCAAAGGGCCATCAAACCTGCCTGGAAGAAGTACAGCCGGAATGCTCCTTAGAAGTGAGAATGGGGAGACTTAGTCTCATGTATTTGGGACGTATTATCAGGAGAGACCAGTTCCTGGAAAAGGACACCATGTCTAGCAAAGTAGAGGGCAGTGAAAAAGAGGAAGACCCTCAGCAAGATGGACTTTGACAAGATCGATTGACATCATGGCTGCAACAATGGGACTCCAACATCATGGTGATTGTGAGGAGGGCGTGGACCAGGCAGTGCAATGCACATAGGGTGGCGATGAGTCTGAACCAACAGTATGGTGCCTGGAAGCAACAGGGAACTTTGTAAGGTCAAGCTAAAGGAAGGCATGAATTCATACTTCTGAAAAGGAATGCCTTGATGGAGCTTTTTAGGTAATAGTATTGCCTTCACGCCTCAGGACATTGGATATTTTTCATAGTATGAAGCTATGAGGCCCAAATGTGAGATTTAAGTTCTTTCCCTGAAGATGTTGTTAAGTGTTATGGAGGATTGATTTAATATTTTTTTAACTGTGTACAATATATTAAAACGCTAAAGGAGCCCTGGTGCTCTCTGGTTCAAATCTACCAGCTGCGCCCTGGGAGGACGATGTGGTTGCCTGCTCCTGTAAAGATTTACATGGAAAGCTCCTATAGGAGCACTGTGTTAGAATTAACTCAATGGCATTGGGTTTTGGTATATACAACAAAGCAACATGGTTTAAGAGTTTCAAAAGTAAATCCACTTTAGGTCTTGGGTTTGTTTCAGTTTGTTTCACTAGTTTAGGGACTTTGGCAAGTGTCAGAAGACTCTTCTTGTGAGACAGAATGATGGTAGAAAAGAGGTCAGTTGTAAACTTAAAAAACAAACAAGGAGATAAACTCCTGTTTCAACAACATTGCCTGTCCAGTAGAGAGAGCGTTCTCCGTGGTGCTGGGGATCAAGATGTCTTAGACTAATAACAAATTTGTTCTTTAGGACATTTTCCATGCCAGAGAGTAGAGCCATTGCTGTAGCTTAGTTATTTCTCCTTCCAAGGCAGGGCAGGGAAAAATAAGGTGATTCACCAAAGAGATAGCTCTGTTTCCTGAGATAAATACACTTGTGTTTTCAAGTGAAATAGCCAACGGAGCCACATGAAAACAGTTGCTTATCAAGAGAAACTGTGATGGAACCTTAAAGATAAGATTAGATGTGAAGAACATTGAGGCCCATTCCAACAGGTATCTCTGCCTCTTCCTTTGGTTAACGAGAAATTATCCCCACTGTCAGTTTGGATCCTGAGTGGCAGATGTCAAGACAGGCTTAAAGGGTCAAGATTTTGTGGGGGCAGCATTTGTGAATCGTAAAGATGGAAAGAGCCCAGAGCAATCAGGAGGAATGATCAGAGTGTGATGCAGATCAAACTCTCCCATGAAGGAAGAGGGGCAAGGAAGGATTGGGGATGTTCACCACACAATTGAAAACCTCTCTACCAGGCAGAATGTGGCGTCCCCTAGTGAAGGCTGCCTCCTAGTGGAATCCCGTATTGGGCAGGAATGGGCCGGCACTGGCCAGGAGTGCCCCAGTGAAGGGTGCTTTCAACATCTGTGGGGATGGCAACTAGGGACTATCAGTCTGCCAAGCTGGAAGGAGCTCTGGGCAGTACATCTTCATGGCTGCCACACTTCTTCAGCAAGTTTATTGATTTCTTAATAGGATTCACAAACTCTTAAGGAAAAGTGTAAATAAAAGTAGAAACTCCAAACCAAGCTCATTCCCGCTAAGTCAACCCTGACTCACAGCGATGCTGTGGGACAGGAAGAACTGCCCCTGTGGGTTTTCTGAGGCTGTAAACCTTCATGGGAGCAGAGTGCCGCATCTCTCTCCTGAGGAGTGGCTGGGGGGAGTCTGCTGCTGACCTTGCAGTGAGCAGTCCAGCACAGGAACCGCTACTCCAAACGATGAAATACACCATGAGGCCCATTGTTATGCCTTCAATTTGCCCTTAAGCTTGGTTGGCCTACCAACCTTCTAAGTCAAGAAAGAATTTACTACTAGTTTAGTCCCCAGGAGAAAGTGTTCTGCATGAAATTCTGCAAGGTATTTCTTGAGGAAGATATACATGGGAAGTACTAAGTGATGTTTTCATGTCTGCAATATTTCTGAGCAAAGGTGCCTGGTTATTTTTTTATGGCTCTTTGAGACAATGTCTTTTGAGAAAGGGTAAACATTGAATATTAAAATGTTAACTACCTGAAGATAATTATGTAGCTGGAGACCAAGATTATATTGAGGCACCATATTGCTGATGATGTGTAGTTGGAGCTCAGATCCTCAGAGAAGTCAGTGGACTGACCCACTGCCATTGCGTTCATTCCGACTCCTAACAGCCCTATGTGGGCTCTTTGAGGCTTTGTAAATAGTTATGTGAGCATAGTCTCATCTTTCACTCTCTCTAAGTGATTGGTGGTTTTGAACCACCAACCTTGTATGTAGCATTTAACCAATAGCACTACCGGGACTCCTGAAATGAACATAACCTTGCATAAATATGAATTCTACAAAACAATTAAAATAGCAGACTGTTCAGAATTATATTCTACTGTTTGTTCTCATGCAGGGGAGCTGGTATCAACTTCATTTAATGTCCTGCCAGAGTCCTTCCACGGAGATACTCTTTTTTCCAGCTTGGCATCTCCAGGTCTTTC